TTACCTCCTCTCCTCTAACCACACAACCAGATTTGAAATGCTTGCAGAAGCTGGGGCTCTGCAGCTTCCAGCACGTGGCTCCGGCTGTTCCCTGGAATTTCTCTAGGTCGCCTCATTTTATGACTTTGGGGCTTGGGGAGTTTTGGTTGCTGTGTTTTCTCCCCAAGCTAAACTGAGATGTCTCAGTTAAGAGAACAAATTGCATACTTGGCAGGCCTCACCGGGCATGGAGACCTGAGTGGCACACAGAGGGACAGCTTCAGGGAAGGAGTGGCCAACCTATCCGTCACAGGCCCCAAGAGTGAGAAGCAGAATGTGCCCCCACCCCAACAAGGAAGTATCACATCCTTCTCCGGCAGTGGTTATCGCTGCCAGATTAGATTGCAGGGGATTAAGATCACCATAAAGAACAACTCTCACCCAAGGACAGGGGCCTGCACAAGCACCTTGAGTCCTCATTGAGATGGAGCAGTGAGCAATGATCATACATTTGTCAAATCTATCTTTCTGTTTGGTTTAGCCCCCGAAAAGGGGGGAGCTTCTGTACAGGTTGTCTGATAATTGTGCTAAAAATGTACACAAAATACCCACTCAGAGGAGGGGATGACAGCCCATAGGAAGTTCACTTCCCTGAGCATGCATGTAATCTGGCCCTGTCCACACCGACCATCTGGTGGATATCTCGTCAACACCATTGCAACCCTCTGCCCCACCCCCACCCCTGCCAAAAATACTCATTTTAATTAATGAATGCCAGGGACAAGAAGAAATATGTAAGTAAGACATACATTTGCCCATTAGGGCAATTTTTTCAATCCAGCAAATTGCAAACCCCTTGCTTTCTCGCATGGCTTCTCCCCAGTACTGTTCCTTCCTGCACCAGGCCGGACTGGTGGAAGGGGAGGAGGCACCATGCGTTACCCTAGCAAGTCGGCAGTGCCCAGGCCAACAACCAGGCAGAGTTATTTTGATGGGTCTCTAAGAACACAGTAACCTGGCTATTCAGAACCCGTTGGGTAAAGCATTCCTGGGCTGTGAAGAACAAAAAGAGAAGTCTAAAAACAGTGCTTAATGAGTGGAAGATGAGTTCTCATAAATGTGCAGAAAATTACCTTTCTCTCAACATTCAAACACGGTAGCCCAGACATTTTGGATGTTTTCACAAGTGATATTCAGGAATTTGACTCTTCCTTTAGCAAACCTCCTCACTGATTTCAGACACCTATCAGCTTTGTTTTCGCTTGTTCCAAGAAATGCTGAGAAAGCTATTTGTCACTCTCCTTGTGGACTGTTCATTGTTTTCCTACAGCTGTTGCAACTCTGATCACAATATTTAATTGTTAGGCCTGATGACCGAACCCTTACTGAGGAGAGAACTGGTACAACTTTCCCCATCTCTGTCTGCTCCTTTGCTGTTAGCTGCTGTTCACTGTCGCCATCGCTGCTCCTGATCTGCTCTCTCTCTCTACCCCTCTGGAAACACATTGTCACTCCACCTGAGATCTCCCTGCCCCCAGAGAGATCCCTTATCTGCTTGCTTGACTGATTTGGGCGCTCCTTGTCACCTCTGTCATTAGATCTGGTAGCCAACCCCAGGACCAAGTGAGATATATCAGTCATGCTTATTCTCTAGAGAGAAACCTGGGGCTCTCTTGTTTTCAGAATCCCTAGAATGCCAGCCTGATGCAAAATCCTTTCAGGGTCTCTGAAATTGGAGAAAGAGATGAAAGTTTCAGGAACCAAGAGGTAATGTGATAACCCCATGGACCTTTTTAATAGGAAGACCAAAAGCAAGCACCATCCTGGTGTTCACAAGCATAAGGCCCACAGAGAACACTTGTGCTGTTTTCCATGGAGTGGAGATTACTATGAGCTAATTCACAGCAGCTCTTGCCTGGGCATCCTTCTGACCAATGTTAATGCATCAGTAGGGCATTGAACTCACCTGACTGCCTTTGGGACCCAGGACCATGCTCCGTGGGCACTCCACCCTGGCGAGCCAGCCCCCAGCAGCACCAAGCTGGCTGTGGAACAGAAGCCACCTTGGAGTCTCAAGGTCTGTGCATTAGTTGCTGACAAGGATCCAAAGGTCTCTTCCCAGACAGAGCCTTAAGCTGTGGTTTAGATGTGTGAAGGAAGCTCATCTTATGAGAGAGTTATTCAATAAACACAGGTTGAGCTCCTGCTGTGTGCAAGATGCCTGCTCAGAGCTGGAGATGGAGAACTAGACTCCAGTGCCGCCATGGGGAAGCCTGGCTCTTTCGCTTTGGGCAAGAGTGAGATCAGTTTTAAGTAAGATGAGTCTAGAGGCAAAAAATACAATAAGAAATACTTTCATCTATAGCATGAATGCTGCACACTCGTGTATGTGTGTATGTTTTGGAGTGGCAAAAGAATGGAGAAATCTGAAAGTGGTCGGAGAGCTGATAAAACTGGGCTGCACACACACTGACTGGTTCATCCCTCTGAGAGACTGTTCGCCATTTGTAATTAGATATATATTTTTTCCATTACTTAAAATTGAAACAACTAATTAAATCCTTAATTAATATTTTGAAACTACCTTGGGATATGAATTGCTAGAGAAGTTATTCTAACTGCTAAATATTACAGTGAAATCCCAAAGAGCAATTTGCTCATGTGTTGACTCTAGAATGTGCAAGAAGGTTTTTATGCTGTGCATAGTCACTCCAAACTGTTTTTCCCCTTGATTTTTCCAAGGTTTTCCCCTGGGCCTCTGTTAAAACTTTCATCCTTAATCTGCTATCACCTTTGGTCTGGCCCTAGCGGCTTACGGTTTTTTTTTGGAGGGGAAAGCTTGTTTAGAAGGAGTTTGCTCAGTTCTGAGTCCCTTGGTAAAAACATCCAGCTTAGCCAAGTGCAGGCTGTAAGCAATAATGAACTTTCCTTGTGGGTCCATTTTCATCTTCAGAGCCCTAGAAGTTATGAAAGGATTATGGTGGGAGGCAGCCAGGCTAACAGTAAATTTTTTGAACACCCACTTAACTTCCATGGTCTCTGCCTCTTGAGGGAATTGTCAGATGGTGGTGTTTCCCTGCTCTCCGCTTTCTGTCCCCCTCTCTTCCTCACGGGAAATCACCAAGAACTTAATAGCTGGAGGCAACATTCAAACAAGACACATAGTTTAGACACAGATTAAAGAGGCTTTCTCTTAAATTTCTGGGAAGTCCTCAGAAGTTTATGGAAGGTCTTGATATTCTAAAAGAGCAGAGAGAAGTTTTTTAGGTGACTCTCCAGCAGGTGGTACCTCTTTGATGCAAGCAGAGAGCGTATTTCACATCTGGGAAAATTTGTAAATGCTTATTTTTTAATTAGGCAGATGTTCAAGTCTGCAGGCCCTTCCCTCCTTGTTAAGTTCCTGGGCTCATGTTACAAACTAACCTGCAATGGTCCAAGCCAACTAATGACAGAGGTAAACTCTCTAGGCACCAACTGTTTTTTATTTTACCTATTTCATATTCATGTTTGGAAACACATATTAGTGTTTCTATGTGAATGCATTCAAAGAATACAGTAAAGTGAATTTATTCATGTTAGTGAATAGAAGACCACATTATAGAATCATTTAGAAACCTATAAACATAAAATGAAAATAACTGGAAAGCTAAAACCCAAAGCAAGTTTTGCAGATTTCATTTTAGAATGCATTTCATTTTCTGATGCCTTATATGTTCTCAAATCAGAAAATACAACTGTTTAAATTGGTAAGTTCAGAAAGGTAAGGGATATATATTCAACCACATTTTATAAAGAAAAGAGGTAGTATAGATGATCTAGCATAGTGATCCTCAAGCCTGCATGTCAGTCAATCTGGGGAGCTTTTAAAATTGCCAGTGCCTGGGCTCCACCACATCCCACCGAGAGTCTGAATTAGCTGATCTGGGATGGGGCCTGAGCAGCCGTGTAAAAGGTCCTAGGGAAGCCAGTGTGTAGCCAAGTCGGAGAATTCTGTATACATGGTAAGTTGACTTTGGGTACTTGATAGGTTCTTTTTCCCACCCAGCAAACTCCACCTAAAATAGCAGAATTGTTTTCGGCCCAAAAGGTTGAACAGTTCTCCACAGTGCCCCAAAGGCAGTGTTGTAGCTGCAGGAAAGCTGCTGATGCCAAGTGGCTCCTCTCCAGGAGGCACCTGGGGGCCGGAGCGCATCATTACAGCGGTCAGGAAGCTAGAACGATCCCCTCCCTGCCCTGGGCTTGGCATCAGAAGACCTGGGTGGAATCCCTGCTCCAATTTTCCTACTCTGAGTGACCTTGGTTAATATATGCAACCTTTCTGGGTGTGTTTCCTCATCTGTAGAATGAGGAGTCATGCCTTCACAGACTTGTGAGAATAAATAGACGCAGGTGAAGGTTTTGCCATCTGTGCAGGGCCACAGAACTGGCAGGTGCTGCAGGTGTGTGTACCTCTGGGGATCACCCTGAACCCGAGGCATCTCCTCAGGAGTCCCGGCCATGTGCCAGCATCAGCCCAGCTCCTGAGCAGGGTTTCAGGGCAGAAGCCTTTGAATCCTAGGTGTGCCTCACCAAGACTGGGGTGGGATGGGAACCAATGAATGCCAAGACACCACCACCTTCCCGGGACCCATCAGTATCAAAGACGTCTGACTGTGGAACCCACCCTTAACACGCTGGCCAAAGTGAGTGTGCAGGCCCTGCCTGCAGCATGAGGCTGTCTGCTCATTTCGCAGAGCATTTTCTCAGCCCCATATTCCAAGTGGCTGTGGAGCTAGCGGGAGTGAGAGGCCGAGTAGTATGTGGGTGACTTGAGTTCCAGCTCTCTCTGGGCTCGTGCAAGTTCCTTCTCCAGTCCATGTCTCTGGTCACTGTGCGTGGGGGATGCTGCTGACACCCACCCCGCCACACCGTTGTGAGGATGGCACGAGTCAGTACACATGACATGCTGAGCAGGGGGCTGGCTTACCATAATGCCAGGGGGCCTAACCTGTGTCCCCTCTCCCCTGCTCCCCCCCCACCAGTGCCTAGCCCCTCTTGTAATGGCTTCGACAGCGCCCTCTCAAGACCTCACCGGGTGCCACTAGGAAAGGAGGTCTGCTTCATTGCTACCGTTCGTCTGGCAACGCCACAATTCCTAAAGGCAAGTACCTGGGAGAGAGTTTATCATGTGGAGCTATTGCAATTAAGTCACATTTAGTTTCTATTATATTGTCTTTATGGGAAAGAATAAAACTACAATGAAGTTGTCACTAACTTTGAACATTTTAAATGTCTGGCTTCTGTACCCTTGACAGCCCCACATGCTCTTTCCCTGAACCTCCTGTTTCAAAGGAGCTGTTTTGTTTGAAGGCAGCATTCCTTGCTGTTCAGCCTGCAGAGGATGCTCCCTTATAACTCTGTAAACATTCCTACCTTTCACTCCGCCACTGTTCCAACCGCTTGGGGCAGGCAGAGGTGAGGACTCAGTGTCAAACTAAGAGTTCCTCTGTTCTCTCATCTGATTGCTTTAACATCTGTGGCATGAATATGAAGTTAAATTAGTCATTCAGATTCAGATGAAAAGCCATTTTCCACATGTTTACCACACTTCTAGATAATGGGGAAGGGAGTGGTGTGACATTTTGGCTCCTAGGTATTTTTCCACAGCTTATGAAATAAATTTAGTATCAGCTAATACCGAAATTAGCTGCAGATGATGAGTTTCAGTCCAGCACAACTTGGAGACTTGCTCTACATGATTTTAACTTCTGTTACCCACCATGCATTCTTGAACAAGCCTAGGGTGAACATCTGGCAACCCCAAGCAACAGTTTTTTTCTCTTCTAATACAGGAAATGTGCATAGTTGATGAACCTTTAGAGGAATTCACTTCAAGGCATAGCTTGGAATGGAAATTTTTATTTCTGGATCACAGGTTTGTGCAAAGAAAAACACATTTGGGTTGGGTCCCTTTCAAGTGTGTGTTTGCATGAGCCGTGTTCTCCTTGAGAGAAAAGTCTGGCCTGGTCCCGGCAAGGAGAAGGACTCTTTGGCAATAGGAAGAAGTGGTTCCCAGCCAAGGGTGAGGTGGCTCCCTTTGACCACACTTGTCCCGACTGTGGATGTGTTCTGTGTACAGGTCTGAGCAGGACACTATAGCTCGGGGAAACCTTTGGGATACCCACCACCCACGCCACCCCCTGCCCCACCTGGGACCCTCTCTCGCTCCCAGTAAGGCAGAAGCAGATTTGAGAGAAACTTCTTATTTCTTTCAACACCCTTGTGTCCCCTTAGCCCAGTTTTCTTTCTTTTGTAACATTTGTCACAGTTTAAGAACTAGAAATCTCCCTTCCCTACCCTTCAATTTCTTATTACTTTGGGGTTGGACTGACCTACCCAATCTATAGCTGTTTTAATCATACAGTCATGATAAAATTTACTATTATTTGGGCCACCTTACACCAAGGGAACCAAGTATCTAAATGCCAAAAAACAATGAGCACTTCGGAAAACAGAGCCTCTTTGGTTTCAACCATTGGAAAAATTACTTTCCTGCCCTTGTTCTTGAGAAGGGAGGCCCCTGCATTGGTGACTGAATGTGCATGCCATACCCTGCACGATGGGGTGCAGCCCCCAGGGGGAGGTCTGCTCTGCGCTTCCTCGCTGATGAATTCTCCCGCGTCCTTGGCAGAGCGCCTCCAATCATAGGATACCTGCCTTTTGAGGTGCTGGGGACCTCGGGTTATGACTACTACCACATTGACGACCTGGAGCTCCTGGCCAGGTGCCACCAGCACTGTGAGTACCACGTGCCCCGCCCAGCGCGGAGGGCCCCCCACCCCCTCCACAGTCCTGACAGCAGAACACCTAGGCCCTGGAAGTCTGCCTGTGACCTGCTCTCTTTCTGAGGTAGAGGACCTCACTTTCTTGGAAATGATCCCGGTGTGTGGCGGAGGGCCTTCTCTCCATTGCACCCATGTGTACTTGTACCTGGAGCCTTTTGGACCTCAGCCCCTCACAGTGTCTGTCAGAGAGGCACGCTGTTTAATCTCACATAGGAAACTCAAGTGAGGCTGTCTCTTTTTAAAATTATGCCATACTTTGCAAAGACGAAATACTGAATTCACATTAACTGTTCTCTCGTCAGAAGACAGAAACTGGATACAAGCTATACAGGCAGATACTGAGCTAGGCCCTGGACATCAGAATGGCCAGAACCTCCTTGCTGCCTTTCAGGGGTGAGGCCTCATGGAAAAACAGAAATAGGCGACCTTACCGGATGTTGCCCATGCATGGAAGTGGATGTGCCCAGGATATTGGGGGAGGAGGAGGAAAGGAGGGGACCAGGGAAAGGTCTGCCACAGAACAGGGGAATGTTCTGGCAAAGGAATAAGATGCAGGACTGTGGTGTAGCAGAGGGAGGATTACACACATGTCTGGGCTCCCACTTAGCAACAAGAGCCAAGAATTAACCACTGAAAACCACAGCTTAAGTGCCAAGGTCCATCTTTGAACAGGAACATTTGTAGTAATATTGACCTATGGATCCTGATCCATGAACTGACCACCAGCACTGTTTTCATAGCTGCCCAGCCTGTAGTGCCCATTGTGACTTTCTCATCTCTGCTGTTCTTGCTGAAGGAAGAGGAGGATTAAGTTCCATGGACTGGATTTTGAATTTAAGGCTGGTCTTTTAAACTTTCACTCTGTGCTCCTTGAAATGTGGTCTCCAAGCGGCAGGATGGGCATCACCAGGAGTCTGCTGGACTTGGAGACTCGGGCTCCCCGAGCAGGCCCACATGATCACAGCGCCCACTTCAGCAAGACCACCAGTGATGCGCGGGTGCATGGAAATTTGAGAAGCACAGCTTCTGAAGTCAAGCCTTAGCTTCTTCAGACTCTTCTGATGGAGAAGGGCCACCCTGGCTGTGGAACCATCTTCATCGCCTGAAGGATTTGCCCCGTGGCTTGGCCAGTGTTCTTGCCCTGCTGAGCCCTGGGCCTCTTTTTCACTAAACTCCAGTTTGAAAATCTGCCCCTTACTGGCTGGGCTTCCCCCTCTTCAGATATCACATTCTCCAAGCCAGTGGCTCCCTCTTTGGCTTTAGTTTCCAAGTTAGGGTTTCTCATAACAGTTTGCAGAAGGAGGGCAAAATTCCAGGCACTGAGGCAATAAATCCAAAATTGTTCTTCTTCCTTGGACCCAAGTCCAGCTTTCTGGCCCGCCCAGACTCTGTCCTGGATACCCCCAGAGATGCCCACCACCGGAATTAATCATAAGAGGGCCACCCAGCTCTGCAGCAGGGGTGGCTTGGGTAGAAGGCATCTGAAGGCAACTCGATTTTCAAACTGTGTACACCAAGGACGAATTGCTGACTGACATCCATGGAGCGCGCCTGGAGGTTGCTGGTTGGCAGGTCTATTTTCCATCCCACTCTCCTGGTGTCTGGATTAACTCTCCTGTGCTCCAGGAAAGCCTGGGCCTCTTTTTCACTAAACTCCAGTTTGAAAATCTGCCCCTATTTGAGGATCTTCGAAGCTTCTGAGCATGTGAGAAAGCACGTGGGTCATCCTTGCACAGTTTAAGAACTCATGATTCTTAACCATTATCTTAATAGTCACCGAAAATACAGCATAACCGGGGAAATAAACAATGTTTGGCATCGTCCTTTCAAAAGCCTGTGTTCTTTGACAGTAACTTTGGGAATGAGATCATTTCCGTATTAGCGTGTGTTACACGCAGACTCCATTTCCTACCAACAGTGATGCAGTTTGGCAAAGGGAAGTCATGTCGCTACCGGTTTCTGACCAAAGGCCAGCAGTGGATTTGGCTGCAGACCCACTACTACATCACCTACCACCAGTGGAACTCCAAGCCCGAGTTCGTCGTGTGCACACACTCGGTCGTCAGGTGAGGCCCAAACGGCACAGAGCCCCAGCACCCCTGGGAGTCCCAGCCTGTGAGGGGCAAGCCCTGGGCTTGAAATCCACAGCAGGGCCCGTGTGCCCCACAGTTAAGAGAATCATCACCGGAACTCAGCTCCCTTCCGGCCTCACACCCCCTGTGTTCTCCCGGGCTGGGACTTCCTCCCGAGTGTTCGGTCAGGCCCCACTGAAGGCCCCCTGGGCTTCTTTCAGGCCCCAGGACATTTCTTAGTGAGTTACTGCTTTGCTGACCTACTTACATATTTCCCCCTCATCTCTATGCATCCCTGAGCCTTCCCTTGTCACTGTTCTGAGAAGAAAATTAAAATCCTGCCTCTAAATAACTCACAGACATAGTCCCCTTTATTTTTAATGCATTAAAAACCCCTGCTGGCAACTGAGGCAGTGTTGGGAAAACAGCCAGACTGCCAGCAGGAAAGGGTTCCTGGCGGTCCTGGTGGCCTCGGGAGCCCTGCGCCCAGTCTGGGGAGCAGGGTGTCCAGGCAGGCAGTGAGTCCAGCATGTCACAGACACAGCCTGTGTTGGGTCACAGTTCTCCAAGGTAAAGAAATGTCATTCTTTTATTTCCCCTGACTACAGAAATGTTAAGAACAAAAATCAGTTTTAAACTGGCCTAGTGAAGAGCTTTGAGGAGAGCAAAGAAAGAAAGGTTAGAAGGACTACATTTTATATGTATATACATGGCAGATGGTGATAATAGATGGGCAGATGCATACACATAGACTTGCAGATACTATACATACATACTGCATTTTATATATATACATGACATGATAGATAATAGATACACATCCATGTGGACCCTATACACATACTGTATTTCATATATATACACAAGAGATAGATAATAGGTGGGTAGACAGATGAATGGATACATACTATGCATACATGCATGCACACACACATGCACGTATACAGTCATCAAGTAAATCATGCCTCTTTAGTAAATGGGGAGGGAGGACAGGTGAGAAATGCTTGTCATTCTTGGCAGTGGCCCTGACACCACCTTGTGTGCCCTCTCTCGGGAACTTCATCTTGGCTTCTCCGCCCACCCTTGGGCACTTCAGCTGCCAGTGGTTTCTGATGCCACAGCCAGTCCCACTCCCTGCCACCCAGGCTGTGCCCCCAGGGGAGACTGGGCACCTACACCTTGGTCCTCGTGCCCTTGACCCCACTCTTCCTCTCCACCCCCACCTCCCAAATCCTACAAACTCTCAGGAAGTAGGGAGAGAACCAGTAAGCAAATAGGGTAAGAAGCCTTCCAGAGGCCCAAGGGCCACTGTCACTTGCAAGGCCCCTCACCCAGCCTGCATCTCCACACATGAGACAAAGGCACAGCTGGGTCCCTCAGGCCTTCACCACATTGGATTGATTTACCCACTATTTAAAAAGTGGGTCCGTATATTAACCAGCAGTCTGGGTCTAGAGCTGAGTTTGAGAGAGGACCTTCTGAGGGCTGTAATTACTAAAAAGCCATGTGTCACTGCTGCTCATGCACAGTCCAGACTGAGTGGGTTTTAAGGGGCTTCTGATTATTTGAAGGCCAAAGCTTATCCTACAGATGACAACATGTTTCTAAAGATAGTTACGTTTGGTAGTTTTGGCAGTAGGGGCAGGTAAGCAGAGATGGGAAGGAAAGCATTCTGGAAAGGAAGATATTCCGAATGCCACATTAGAAGCCACTCCAGTGGGATCTAGGCACAGAATGGAAGGAACTCCCACCTAAACAAGTCACAGGACTAGTCTCCATGGTGGCCATCCCGGGAGGGGGTTCACGTAGGGAACCTCGACGCGTCCCACAAGCCCTCTTTGCCATTGGCATCCTGAAACCTCCCACCTCCAGCTGTGGTCTCTTCATTTCCTGGTTAGTTATGCAGATGTCCGAGTGGAAAGGAGGCAGGAGCTGGCTTTGGAAGACCCACCAGCAGAGGCTGTCCACCCGTCAGCACTAAAGGTATGCCAATCCAGCCAGAGGGGTCAAAGCAAGGTGTGGCTAAGTGGACTCCTCCATGAGCTACGATAACAGCAGTAATGATAAAACAGTAAAAACAGCAGATCATAGTAATTGAGCTCTTGTTATGTTCCCAGTACTCTTCCCCGTGTTTTCCAGGTATTGGCTTAGTCCCCCCGTGTGCAGATCCTGTGAGGCAGCCACTGTTACAGTCTTCATTGTTGAGAGGAGGCACAGAGCCCTCAGAGAATTTAGCTCACATACCCAAGGGCACTGAGGGTTGGAACCCACATTGCTGTGTAATAAACGGCTTCGGGACTCAAACCAGCGTTTGGCAACTTTCCAACCCAGGAGCTATACACAAGTCCACAGATAAAAAGCTGGAGGGGAAGTGGGCACTTATTCCATCATCCCATTGAGGTGTGGAATGATCCAGCTGCCCTAGTCCTTCCCTTAGCCTAAGTGCTTTTATACTGCCCCCAGGACTCGGGCATCCCATGACTAGCTGGCCCCTGGCACACCCTCCCATGTTGTCAGTGGCAAGGGGCACCTTGTTTCTGTCTGTGGGTCTTGGCCGACAGCCATGTTGGAGCCGGCTTCACTCAGGGGCTCCACTGTTGAGAGGTGTCCCCCTTCCCAAAGCCCAGTCTCCTTGCCTCCTCTGGCCTGAGCTCTGCTTTCCCCAGCTCTACTCCTGGTGTGTCAGCTCCAGGGAGACTAGCCGGCGGCCCAGAGCCCTGGTCTGCAAAAGTCACTCAGTGAATGTTGGCAGAAAAAAAGATGAAGCAAAAAAGGGAGGAGCGTCATGGTTCATTGAAGCTAAGAAGCTATGATTACAACATCCACCAGTATTTTATCTCCCACTAAGGAGAATATGCTGACCATCTATGAAATAAGCATTTCTTTTCATCCCTTGAAGGACACATCCCAATTTCATATAGGTCAAAATGTGGGAGGGCAAGTGCCTCCTAGAATGGATGCAATATGGCTCCAGCTCCAGGCTGCCCAGGGACCTAGAACCCAGATTCTTTGGCCAGAAGCTGCTGCAGCAGCATCCATGTGACAGGAGCATCTCTGGCCCAAGAGAACTGAGCCGAGGGAGGAGAGACCACCTTTAAAGGCCAGAGACCAGTCGGCGTTTCTGCCGAGCCTCCACTGCAGGCATGCTCCATGCTGATGGGGGGTTTGGGGGTTCATCACCAGAATGCTGACAGGACACCCCTGTCATTGTCTCTGCTCCGTCACATCATACATCATGTATCATGTCCAAGAATGGAACTAAGCTGTTACTAGACAGGTGTCAGATGCACCGTACATCACAGCTGCGAACAGGCATAGTGTGCACTGTACAGTTGGAAGTTCATTGTTGAGGCTTCTGATCCTTTGAGGATCCTAGAGCCTCATGGAACTTCTCAAAAACATGCAAATATGCAAAAATACACAAATGCACATGCAGGCTGCCCGGTTAAGAAGCTCTAGGACAATGCTGCTTAAACTGTCAGTGGTAATGGTCCGTTTGGTGTTTTAGTTCAAACCTGTCGCTGCCTCATGTTTGGCCAGGGACAGAGTCCCGGGCTTGGAGGTGATGTCCAACTCCATCAGGTGGCACTAAAGTTTCTCAGTGTTCATCCTCACCTCCTTACTTAGTATCTGTTGACCAGGAGTACACGGTTCACAAATGGCCTCGGGGAGATTCTGTGCCTAAGCAGCAGGGTCTCACAGCTGACCTTTAGCACAGCAAATCCAGGCACATCCTATCACTCTGTTTTGCACAAAAGGCCTGTAGGACATATATCAGTCATGCAGCCTTACTTGGTCTTTTGCCTCCAGCCTGGGGCCCTGGTCTGCAGAGCGGGAGGGGTGGGGAGACAGTGCGGGAGGTGCCCAAAGGGCCCAGAGTCTCGTGTTTCACGGGACGGGTCCCACTCCAGCACCACCAGTGACCTCATTCTAGAACTTGCCTCTTCCACTCTTCTGGGAAAGTCAAGTTTCTGGGCAGTGAGGTGACAACTTTAAGGGAAATATAAAGTTCAACTATTATGAAAATCTAGAAAATCAAAATAGAAGGTGAGAAAGTATAGTAAATACTGCTAATGGGCTACAAGCATCTACATTGCATACATGTGCAAATATTCCACCTGAATGTGTCTGGAATTACCTCCAAATAGTTACATAATTTCAACACCCTCCAAATTTTTTCTACATGGAGGGGAACAAGAGTCAGCTAACTCATTCCCCTCACCTCGATGCTGCAGTGGGGACCGTGTGTGTATGTGTTTTAGGACAAGGACCCAAGCCTGCAAGCTCAGCAGCACTTCAGGGCCCTGGGCGTGGGCACCTCAGGCCCCAACACCAGTCACTCGCCATCGGCATCCTCAAGAAGCTCCCTCAAGTCCTCGCACACAGCCATGTCCGACCCCACCTGTGAGTGTGGCCCCGGGTGGAGAGGGGAGGCACCCCGTCAGATGGGCAGTAGGGGTATAGAGCCCCACAAAGGGCCCAGGCCTGAGTACAGCAGGCCCGGGATCCTGCTCAGACTCCTTGCTCCTTCCCCTCTGACCGCCTGCCTCCACCCTCCATGCTCTGGTTCCCCCACTGCCGCACAGGGCAGACGTAAAGCAGGTGGCACACAGACAAGATACCTGGCCAGGTTTTGGTAACTCTGGTCAGTTGTGTGACCAGGCAGGTAGTTGAATCACATGGGGGATGTGGGGCTTGAGGATGGTTTGCTGTCATCAGCCCTTTCTCAGGTGAGGGTAGAGGTGGGCAGACCCTCTGTGGCTCTGGAAGTCACTTCCACTCATGCTGGACCCCCTTCACCAGAGATTCTAACCAACCCTTTGTTTCACGGACACCATGGGCATTGTTCCCCTCTTTTGATAAGAAAGTTGTTGGGTAAGTGTGAGTCAGGAGTGGTTTGCTTTCCTACAGCCACTCCCAGCAAGCTGATGGCAGAGGCCAGCACCACGACTTTGCCAAGATCAGCTCCCCTGCCCCAAGAGCTCCCCATTGCAGGGCTCAGCCAGGCAGCCACGATGCCGGTATGTATGTGACTCCAAACTTCTCAACTGGGATATGCTGCAGCGCGACAGGCCTGTAAAGCCACAGGACAGCATGATGCATCTTCCCAGAGAACCCGTTTGACTTTCAGATTGAGAGTGTGTGTGGAGACAGGCAGGGGTGGGCAGCTACGTAATTCAACTGGTGACTAATTTGAAACATTTTTATTCCAAACTAACATGGATATATCTCTATTGAAGATAAAATCCAAATGAGTTTTCTAAAGATAAAGTTCAAGCCATCAAAGCTGGGGCACATTTCTAAGTCTCAGGGGATACATGACCAGAATCCTTCTGTTTTTTATCCCATTTCACTCTGTTGAAAATATTTGAGAAGCTTGCTGTCAACAAAAATGTACGTCTGCATATATCAGGCAGTGTCCCTTATATGTGCCAGGCCTCTCCAGAACATTAAGGAGTGGCCTCTTAGAAAGTACACTGCTGTTTGCAAAATCACTGATACATGGTACTCTTGTTATCCATTGCCGTGTAACGAACCATACCAAATCAGTGGTGTAAAGCAACAGTCGTTCCTCATGCTCACAGATTCCGAGTCAGGATTTCAGAAAGGGTCCTGTGGGAACAACTCCTCTCTGCTGCCTCGTGTCAGAGGCCTCAGTGGCTAGGGCTGGGAGACCCACATCCCAGGTGTGTCTGTACTCACAGTCCTGCACCAGGCTGGGCCCACCTGACCATCAACTGTCATGGGCCTCTCCATGCCCTAGGCTTCTCCTGGCACAGGGACTAGGTTCCAAGAGGAACTGTCTGGAGGGGGAGCTTGCCATGAGAGAATCTGTGTCTTTCTAACCTGGCCTTGGAAGCCCCACAATGTCACCTCTGCTGAGCCTCATGGACAGAGCAGTCACAAGCTCACCACAGAGAAGGATAGACCTGCACCCTAGGTGGGAGACATGTCCAAGAATTTTAGGGGCCACATCCAGATAGTTGCCAAATACCTCACACTTGTCCCTCGCTGACATTTTGGAAATAGGAGTGGACCTGCCTCCTCCCTGCTTGCCATCACCATGAAAGTCATTCACACCCTGCTTGAAAAACTTGGGGAATGTTTCTTTTTAAAATAGAACGTGACAAAGACTCCTTTCTTCCCAGCCACCTTTAGATGGGCTCATAAGCTGTGACTGCCCCTCTCGTGACCCCCGGCCATCCAGTGTGACTGTCTGCTACAGCACAGCTCTGGCCTCCCCGTGGTGCAGGGGACGCAGGAGGAGAACCAAAGCCAGTCTCTGTCTCAGCCCTGTACCTGGGATTTTTTCACTCAAAACAAGGTCCCTTGCTGTCATTCCCCACCTCCCCTGGTGTCATCCTGGGTGACACTGTCCATTTTGGCTACTTTTTACAGTCCCTATAACCTGGGGGAAGTTTTGAAATGACTTCAGAAGAATTGTTTTACTCTTAAACACTCTAGTCTGTGAAGCTGAGGCTTTCATTTCTTGTTTGTACCCATTGTCTCCCTGCCACCCATCCCTTGTACCCTGCCCTGCTCCCAGGTGACCAGGGAACAAGGTCTGTGACTCGGCTGGTTTCCCAGGAATCTCTCTAACAGAGTCCAGGCAGAGTCTGGCAAAATGGCACCAGTGTTCACTGCTTGCATGAGTTAATGGCCACAGACGTGCCTGGCATGTCTGTCCATCTGTGTTAGTGTTGGACAGAAAGGGTAAGGACCACACACAAAGCCGACACGGTTTAGAATACAGCTCCACTCATGCTGCTCCATAGCACCACTCAGAATTTATGAGTCTGGGAGAAGAACAACCAGGCCCAGCAAGAATGGGGCCTAGGACAGGAGGCATGGAGGGCAAGTGGAGCAGAGCCGCCAATCTCTGGCAGGGGGTGGTGCCTTGCCGGGCACACCATGGCCAGGAGGCAGCAGGGATGCTGAGTGGTTCCAGCACTTTGCTTGGGGCAGCCAGCACCCTTCACCAGGCGAGGGCCGGCTCCAACTCCGTGCCCTGCATGAGCAGTGCAGCCGGCTGCCCATCTTTTCTGGGGGAACATATGCCTTCTGGAAGTGAGCTCTTCACTCTAGTGTAGGCCAGCCTCCCTCACGCTGGAGAGCCCTGCTGACATAGGGGCAGCGCCCCCATACCTCCATGTATGTTAACCAAGCCACTCTCCCTGCCCAGGCCCCCTTGCCCGCCTCAACGTCCTGTGACCTTGCCCAGCAGCTGCTGCCTCAGACCATCTTGCAGAGCCCACCTGCCCCCATGACACAGGTGAGTCTGGGATACAGAAAGGGGAACCCAGTGGCCGCACTCACCCACCATATAAAGCATGGTGTCCTCCTGAACGTGGGGGTTACTGGTGCTGATGTGTGGGTACCAACCCAAAGGCCCCAACAAGGGATGTTTCTCCCGACGTGCAGGTGAGCGGGCCGAGCTATGAACTTCACGCCCGCCTGTCCTCTCCCCCATCCTATCTTCTCCGGACACCTCCTCCTGTTGCTTTGCTCCAGACTCTGTTTCTCAGCCCTTAGAACAATCTTTGTTCTCTCTGCCGCTTTTCTGTGCTCCTCGCATTTCCTATAACTCCAAATTGACCATGATATTTTAGGAAAGGTCTGGATTAGGCCAAATGTCATAGGAAGACTGCAAGGATCTAAATGCTGTCAATATAATGCTATAACTATCACATTTCTTTAAAAAAAAAATGGACCACAGCTTTGCTGAGTAATTCCTTGTTTCAGCAATACTGAGTTAGCTGGTATTTGGGTCAGTGAGTGAGCGCGTATGAGTGGCATGCAAAGATGCAGGTGCCACAGCCACAGCCCTGGTATGCAGAGCTTGAGTGAGAGATGGGCATGTAAACAGAGAAGCCACCGTGTCAGAGTATGTATTTTTATAGAACCAGTAAGGAAATATTCTGCCTTGGGAAATCCAGTGTGACTTCCTGGAGGAGGTGACCCCTGAACTGGGCTTGGAAGGTTGGGTAGAAGGTTGCCAGGTGGCGAGGTGGGGGCCTAGCAGGGAGGAGGGACCTGGGTATATACTTGAGCTCTGAGTTTTTTAAATGTCTGACATCCTCAAGGTCTGGTGAGAGGCTGGATGAAATCTATGGTCAGAGGGCGGTTGAGCTGATTGGCATATACTCCACAGAGGCCAGAGCTTTCACTTCAGTTCTTTATAGGATGGTCAGCTTTGCCCCACACTCGGGCCCCAGTGGGATTCTAGGTGGTGATCCACCAGCATGTGGCACTGGTCACACTCTTGGCAAAGTCTGGACTTTGGACACTCTTGGTGCAAGCCTGTCCTCACTGATGAACATTCTCAGAACATATGTCCCATGAACAGCTTATGTCAGGAAAAGTCCGACATTTTCCTGTAAGAAGAAAGACACGGCTGGCACATACTTCTTGCTAGAGGTGGGCTTAAGTAAGAATGTAAAAGCTACTCACACACACAGTCAGCTAATTCACCTACATTCGTCCTCTTTAAGAAAAAAGGATTTTTTTTTTTCTCTTCAAATTTCTAAGGCACATTTGTTAAGAAATAAGTAACTTTTTTCAACCCAAAGGCACATAAAATGAGAATTCCTTTACTCTCTGGGTCTTGCAGAGTAAGAATTTCTTTGTTTTATAATACATACTGGTGTGATTAGGGCCTTTGAAATCCTTAGTTTTCATTTACTGAATCTCATTTTAATTAACAGAAACAGTTCTTTGTCTGCTAGGCACATTATACTTTGTAACAACTAAATTCTTGAAGACATTCTTGCAAAATGCTGAACTTTGGAGTCAGACAGCTCCTCAAAGTTCTCCCTGCGGAACAATGAGATTCTACAATTTCTGCTCCACTCACTGGTCTTATCACTGCAGCGCCCTCTCAGGGAAAGGGGGGGAAATAAGCTCCCCAGTTGGAGAATCTGGATGACAGGTGGTCTTGCTTCATGGTTTGTTTCTAAAATGTCTCCAAGTAAACGTCTCTTTTTCAAAAAGGCCACGACCAAGAATATAACAGGAAACTAACGCTGGGGTGTCCTGGAATGCCTTGAGGAAATAAGGACAACTGTAGACATACTGACACTTAGCTAAGTGTGTTGCTGGCCCCTTGCCACCTGCCCGGCCCCACTGCTTCCCTTTGGGGCCAGGTGGGCAAGCAGAGCACCCTCTCCACTGGGCATGGAAGGCACAGCCCTGGGTGCTTCCCAACTTTGTAGAACCCACCACAGAAGCTATTTAAGGTTTTGTTTTTTAAATTCAATACCTGATAGAGCTTGTTTTCTTTCTCAATCGAAGTCTCTTTCAAAATTGCAGTTGAGTGCTTTGATCAGTTACATTCTGATTGAGATTTCTGTGGTACAGTCTGGTAAAGCGCAGGTATTTTTAAACTCGTGTTCAGCGGCAGCGTTTTCCTTTTAAATGAAAGCTTTTCATGATGGCGAAACTGCTCTGGATCGAGGTGGAATTGAGGGGCAGGGGCAGTGCTGCTGGTAAAATCTCTTGGCCTCACGCAGCCCCTGAGACTCTGGCCTCTCCTTTTGGCCCTGTCACCTTCTGGTGTACCACCTCCAGTGAGTTACAGCCTCTCTGCACGCAGGGCATGGTGTGTTGTAGAGAATCAGTGTTGCCTCTGCTGGGCTGAAGCAATGACTGGCACGTGTGGGTCCCTGCCATTATTATTCTTTTTGCCATTATTGGTTCTTTTTATTATTATTTTGCCGCTCCAAAAATTGTAGTCAGTTATTCCCTCTGTATTCTAAACTCAGCTGATCTCCTTGCTTCTCCGTCTATGAGGGGTCACAGGGCAGAGGAAAAGACAAAGTCTCTGGAGGTGTTTGCAAACGACAACAGGCAAGAAACAGACTAGAGAGAATGTTGGGCTTCAAACTGAGGGAATGGAAGCTGAGTCATAAAAGAAGGTGAAGAAGAAAGAAAAGAGCAGAAGTTTCAGTGAACTCGTTTTCCTCAAGAGACAAGTCATGGGGAGCCCCACAAAGCTCAGACCTGAGCAGCCTCACCTCCTATCTTATGATCTTCCACTCAGCACACATTCCGTGGGAGGAAAGTACCTTGTGTTGAGTTAGACAGGTGACATGGGGCAGAGATCACCTGTAAAAGCTCCCTACAGCCAACCTCTGTTCCAGAAAGGGATTAAGAATCAGAGGGAAGATATCAATGTCCCTCCTACAAAGTCACCCTCTGCTAGTATAGCCCTCGAGGCAAATGCAGGTGATTGTATTGCTGCTCTTCTCCCTAGTTCTTTTTTGCACAGAGTTTCAAGAAGTGCATAGCAGTAAGTGAGCCTGGGGAATGTGAGGGAGAGGTACCTAGGCTGGTTTGGAGAGCAGAGCCCCGTGAAATGTATCATCAGATCCAAGTTCATTTGTGAATGGTTACAGAAGAACCCTCCTTGCCAAGATCAGGTTTAGGATAATTTTAGGACCCAAATTGCCTATGAAGCTGTCTCTTGCAGAGTATCAAGACCTAGATAAGAAAAAAGGGAGGGAGGGCTCCTGATGCCCTGCTTTTGACATTCATCTCCAAAACCCTTTGTCTGTCATTTATAAGAACTGCTTACAAAATCATGTCCCGATTCTGTGGCCCTCCCAGACTACAGGGCAGTAAATGAGACCTGCAGGTTCCAGTGGCCAGAGAAGAGCCCACATGGGGACTCCTGGGAGGAACACCTTGCCTGCCTCCCCAGCCGTGGGTCACTCACTAGGGATGCTGGAAAGGATGCATGGGGACCAGAATGAAAGTGGTCAGGCTGCTCAGAAGAGCAGCAACATCTGTTGGTGAGGCTGAAATAACTCATCTGGTTGTGTTTTGACCCCACCTCAAGTTTTCAGCACAGTTCAGCATGTTCCAGACTATCAAAGACCAGCTGGAGCAGAGGACGCGGATGCTGCAAGCCAACATCCGGTGGCAGCAGGAAGAACTGCACAAGATCCAGGAGCAGCTCTGCCTGGTTCAGGACTCCAACATCCAGGTAGTGCCCCTCCCAGCTAGGGGACCACACGGCCTCTGCCCTCCCTGCCGCTCTGGGGTGTATCTCTGGAGGCAGGCAGGACTCCCTCCCTACTGCCTTACTGAGCCCAGCTGACTGGCATGCTGAAACTCCAGGAGCTGGGGACTGGAGGTCGCACCCTGGCACTTCTTGGCCCCATTTGTGGCAGGCCAGTTGGGTGGTTCTGCATTCTCTGACAGCAGCAGCTTCTGACTGTGGACCACCCCTCCCCACCCCGCAGATAACCACTTCTTTGAATCCTCTTGAGAGAGTCTTTTTAGAGAAAAAATCTTATATATTGAATCTCTTTTGAAGATAAGTTATTTTTACCAAGTTTCACTTATATTAGTCCAGCCAGGACTATTTTTCTTGCACAGCCCATTCTGTGGGCCCAGCCTTTAGCTGGGCATGTCCCTAACTAACCTTGGGGCTGCACTGAGAGCTGGAAGCATACACACCCCTCTTAGGTGAGGGAAGGAAGCAGGAGAGACCCGTAGACCCCTGGGGAAAAGACTAGAGTACTGAGCCTGGCGCTCCCCCACCTTCTTGTCCACACAGGCCCCTGCACAGGGCATCCTGATCCCCAGGCCTTGACAGCACTGCGTGCAGGCTCTGTGCACCTTGAGCTGAACACTCCACCGGGCGGAGGTGGGGGCAGCAGGAGAGGCCAACCGGCCAGCCTGCCTGCCTCCCTGGGCTCCACGTAGGTGCTCCTGCTTGCTCCTGGCCCAGAGGTGGCTGCCCACTCAGGACAGAGCCCAGCAGCGACACACCAGTGCCCTCCCAAGGCAGTGTGCAAGCATGTGGCCCGCAGGCTTTGCAGAGACAGGCTAGGGCACATGCAGAGTCCGCCACTCCCCCACGGTCTTCAGCGACACCCCTGAAACTGACTGCCAAGGGAGCTGCCTGCCGCAGTGAAAGGTGGCCAGGGCCCTTTCACTTCTTTCCCAGCTGTACCATTTTCCTGCTGACCCAGGGCCCAATTGGGAGAACTTGCCTGACTCCAATTACTTGAATGGAATTTTTACACTATCAGGAAGGGAAGAAATTGATCCAGAAACTGCTAAAAGCAAGGTAGGCGTATGAACATCCTCCTCAGAGCCTGGACTTTGCTATCTCCTGCCTTTTCAATATGAAAGCTGAATTCTAAAATAACAGGAGACACGGTTCTCTCTTTCACTCCTCCTTCTGAAGAATTTTTCTTCTTCCCCATGACCAGTGCATTTTGTTAGCCTCCAAAGTATATATGCCAAGGAACACTGGGTTTTGTAAGGGATGGCGTGGAAATCAAGCCGTGCAATGTGTTGCTTCCCTCTTTTCATCCCCATGACCTTATCATTGCAGTGGAATTTTCCAAAGAACGTGGAAATCCACAGATAGTCAAGCCAGAGAACATTTTCTCATGCCTGCCGCCTTGTATTTTTGCAAGTTTGAAGATTTAAAGAAATATGCCTCAAAATGTTTAGCCAAAAAAAAAAGCTATGTGATTCAAGCCTAAAGAATAAGCAAGTAAAAATTACTGCACTCCTCCCCTAAAAAAAGTGGGTAGATAGGTTAAATGAGAATATGGCAGAACATTGATAATTGCTGAAGCCTCATGGTGATGCAGGGGGTTTCATTATACATTATCTCTATTTTGCTTATTTCTGAAATGTCCTGTAATGCTAAGTATTTGTAAACATAAGCAGATTATAATAATGAAAAAACCACATGTGAGCATAGGATTGGTTGGTTCTTGAAAATTAGAAGTATTATTTTCCCCTGATAACCTTTGCCATTTGAAATAGGGAATTCTTTTTCTCGCACTTCCTGTAAAATTGGCCAGAGCTCTTTTAAGAAGTCATCTTCTCAAGTCATAAAATTCTACTTTGTTGTGAATAAAACAGAGGCATGGCTGTACACAGCAGCAAAGCAGGATTGTCCCACACAAAGTCCTTTATGTGACATCAATGGACTATTTTAAAAAGAGTGGGCTATAAGCAGAGTCCTCTGGGGTGTCGGTGTGTGCACTTAGGTGGAGTCGTGGACACTGCTTCCGGGCTGCTGTTCTGCAGCAAGGCTCTGTCACCCCCTGCAGTCCAGGGAAGGCTGCCTCTTGCTCTCTTTTAAGGGCATGTGCGCCCTCTGCTGGTTACTCAGTCATGCCTGGAAGGACACCTGTAGCAATCGCAAATGATGGGTTCTGGACTGGTTCTTTCATCCATCCGACCATCCTTTCACCCACCCTATTGTCCATCCGTCCATCCGTCCTTCGGTCCATCCGTCCGAGACCCGTTATGCACCAGGCCCTTGGGTAGGCACTGTGGGGATACAGAGATAACCAGGACAGGGCTTCTGCCCCCAGAGAGCACACACCAATGGGACGCTGTAGCAGGCAAAGCCCGCTCTGACATAACACAAGCAGAAACAGTTTGCCCTTCTTTGACCAAAAGCCTCATTTGTTCACTTATTTACTCCATTCATTCATTCTCAGATAGTTTTTATATGCCAAAGAGGCAAAGTAGAAAGTAGCTCTTTTTTTCATGTTAAATATTATCATCATTACCTAACATTTACTGTGTCTCAGCATAAAATCTCATTTATTCCTTTATGAGGTATGTGCCATTAATGTCACTGCTTTGTTAATGATGAAATTAAGGCTTTGAAAGTTGTGAAAATTGCCCAAGGTCATACCACTTGCATATGGTGGGGTTGTAATCTGAACTAAAGTATGTCTGATTTAAAATAGATTATACTGCCTGCCATAAATAAAGATTGCACTTATTTGAACTCTGACTAGAAAGTAAATCAAATCCTACCAGGAAAAAAATATTATTTAGTTTGACAACTGGGTTTTTGCTGAAGTGATGAAGTGTAGGTTACCATATGTGCTATAAACAATCCATATTGTAACAGGTAGCTGGGACTGCATAAAGTACTAAACCTCAAACTGAATCTCTACTGAACAGTAATGAGTCAGAGATGAGGGGGACCCAGAAAATTCTTAATTTCTAAAGTGACAAAGAGCCCTCATTCAAAACTTCAGGCTTCTCTGGTGGGGGTGGGGCTGACTGGAAAGGCAGGAGATCAAGAGGTTGGGTGGAGAGGGTAGCAGGTGGGCACCTAGTCCAGATCAGCCCCCTGCCCACCCTGGGCCTCTGGGAGATGGCTTAGCTCCACCTGCAAAGCAGGTGCCTGAACTCACCCATCTCTAGGTGCTCCTCCACGTGCTGCCTGCTGTGGTCCCACGCCTGCCTTTCCAAAACCCTAACAGGAACTGAGGTTAAAATTCCTGAGGACAGGAATTGAGATTATAACTCCAGGCCCTGGGAGGAAGAGAGCCTTCCTACTGAGAGACTCAACACTGAAGGCTGAAAGTGGCCTAAACACTGCTTGTCAAGAAACTGGTATCTAGATAATACCAGTTTGTAATGCCCAAGATGAGCTTTTGCTAAAAGAACTAGTTACAGTCTTGGGGTTTAACTTACTGCTAAAATTATTAAAGTTGTCTTTCTTAAGCCTTTAGTGTCTATTTACAGATTATATTTTATTTACAAATCTAATTTGGACTAAAAAATAGTGCTTTTAACTGTTTTTATTTATGTTCAATTAGTTTATAAATGTAACAAATTATAAATAATCAACATCATCTACTAAAGCCATTAATTTACAAATTTAATATATGAATCTTTCAAACATTCCACATGCCTAACAAGGCAGATTTAACCTAAGAAGTAAAATCTAAGCACGTAAGCAATTCTTTTAAATTGAATACACCAACCTTACAAATGAGGTAGATCAAGGTTTTCACAAACATTTAAACACTTTTGATAAACTTGATCAAATTCTCTTAAACCTTTCAAATTAAAATTACCAGGCTACTATATGCCAAGCTTTTGAGTGTCTGAAACATCTTAGATAAAATGCATAGAGATTACCATAATGATTATAAAACTTACTTGTAAACGTAAGTCTAAAGTCCTTGGGCCTGTTGTGCACTCACTGGCTTCCTGGGAATGCAGAGTCACCTGGATAATGGGAGCAGGTTTCCATCTCCGCTGGGAGCACTGGGGTGAAGGTGTGCAACCGCCATGTGGGTACAGACCCTGGTCACTGGGCCGAGATTCAAGGCCAGGCACGGGGCCTGGCCCTACTGCCAGGTTGAGCCAGCCCATGCCACAGGTTATCCAACCCTCTGCAGTTCATCGCATCCATAAGATAGTCCTCCCTTCTAATAAGTGATAGACTTTATACAAATTACTGATAGAACTGGGGCTAAGTGTTTTTTGCACTGTCAGCCCTCCATCACTAGTCTATAACCTTCTTGAAGGTACGGTTGGTGTATCTGATCCCCTGCTCCATCTCAGGGCCCTGCACGCTGCTTGTGGCATCATAGCACTCAGTGTCTCCATGTTGATTATAAATAATCAACATGGAGCAGATGGACTCTCCCAGGCAGGCCAGAGAGAGCAAAGAAAGCAAACCTCTTCCGTGGGCCGGGAGCACACAGAGGGGCAGGCTGGGCAGCCCTGTGGCCCCACCATAAAGGTGCTCCTGTTCTTTAACTTACAGATGTTCTTGCAGCCACCAGCTGCATGCCTGAGCTTCCGCAGCACTCCGCGGCCCGAGGCTCAGCAGCAGCTCCCACAGAGGCCGGCGCCCAGCTCCCAGCCCCAGCTAAGGGCCAGCCCTCAACTGCAAAGGCAGATAGCCTCTGCCCCAGTGGCTAACCAGCATCTGCTCAGAGACTCAAGTGTGATATCCTCCCAGGTAAATGTGGTGCCTCTACACTTGGTCCTTGCCACAGGGTGGCCCAGGGTACCTGGGCCTCCTGCAGACTTCATAAACTGGAAGCCTGTGGAGTGGTTCCCTGTGACCAGGGCTCAGTTAGAGTGGGCAGGGGGGTCTCTCCTTTCCTCTAAGCCACTTTGAAGCCCCCCAGGTTGCACAGGTTTCCCCCAGTGTCTCAGTAAGATCCCTGAAAGGTGTCACACAGCTGGAACTCGGCTTTGATCCTGAGTTGGCTTTGAGGTGAATATGGACATTGCAGCCTCATCCTGACATTTAGGTATCATCTGCTCCTGGCTTTAGTTAGGACACAGGCTCTCCATTTCTGTTAAGTGTCCCTTTCCCTGGGGCCCTTCCCAGGCCCCAGATTCCCCACCTTTCCCACAGACATTACCACTTACCACAAGCCACCAGTGACCTTGTACTCTGACAGTCCTTTGTCCATAAATGGCACTGGAATCTAATGGAATTAAGCCCTGAGCCCCTGCTTGTGGAAGATCACAGATCAGGAGGCAGGACCCAGCATCTCATATTCACATATGTAATCACGGATTCTGTACCTATTTGCTGAGTTCCTGCCACTCACCAACCCACAGGGGACAGGGTGACTAGGAGGTGTCCCTGACCCCAATGCAATCCAGTGTAGCAGGGACTCTGGGAACATGAACAGATAATGAACAATAGAATGTGGAGGAGTACACATATAAGGGAGTATTTATTGAGCACTCACTGCGTGCCAGGCACTGAGTTCTAAGCACTGAGGGACAGCAGCAAACAAAGGAGAAAAAAGGAATCTCTGATCCAAGTGGGGAGAGAGACAAGTAGACATCACAGCATGACAGTGTAGGAACAGGGAAGGTGAGATGGGCCAGAGTGTTAAACAGGGGGCCAAAGAAGGCCTCACTGAGAATACAGTAATTGAGCAAAGACCTTGAGGGGGTGAGAGAATGAACCATATCAGCAGCAGGGGGAAGAGCATTCTGCATAGAGGGCTCAGTCAGTGCAAAGGCCCTGAGGCATGGGTTGGCCTGGGCAGTTGGAGGAAAAGCAAGGAGGTTCACATGTCTGGAGTGAAATTGGTGTGGAAGGTAGCTGCATCCATTTGTTGAACGTACATTTGTCCCTTGCCCGCTGAAAGCCTGGCACTGTCCTAGACCCAGCAAATTTAAAGAACCCTTGTGGTGCTATCAGTCCAATGGGGAAGATGGTCACAAGATCAGAATGATTCAAGAAATAGTCATGAGTGCAAAGTTAGAAGAGAGGCCTGCATGGGTAGGAGAGTTTCTGGCAGGGTCTCTAGAGAGATGGCCCCTCTCATTTAAATGGTTGCTCCAGGGCCCAAAGCCGATGAGAAACGTGCAGATGATGCCAGGAAGTGGTCCCTTGACTAGCAGCCTGGCACCCCAGTTCAGCGCTGCCACCGCGCTCCCGCCAGCCCTCAGCCTGGCCACGCTTGCATCTGCCAACCCGGACACCAGCCCGTGCCAGCCCAGCCCGGATTTCAGCCACGATCGGCAGCTCAGGTACAGAGCCTGTCCTTGTTTGCAAGATAACTGAGGCCAAGTTTGACAATATTTGTTTCCACTGTAGACCAAGGCCAAGTTCAGACAGATTCTAAAGGTCCTGCAGCTGATCTCAGCTAATGACACAGAAGAGGGCAGGGGTCTGGATGGCCAAGGGAAGTGACCCACTGCATTCTCTGTGCTCGAAGAACAGAGCAGGCACAGGGGGTTTGGGTCAGCCAGAAAGGGCCCAGCTGGGCTGCACGGGGGCAGTCAGTGGCCAGCAGGTCTACAGTCTGGATGCTGATCACAGTTTCCCATTTCTCTCTTCCTCTGCTCAAAGGCTCCTGCTGAGCCAGCCCATCCAGCCAATGATGCCTGGGTCCTGTGATGCGAGGCAGCCCTCCGAGGCCGGCAGGACCGGACGGCAAATCAAGTAGGTGGCCCCAGGTGGCAGCAGAAGATGGGAACTGCACTGGGTGGTCTCAGGCAGCAGTTTTCCTTGTGAGTTTTGCACAACAGGCGGGTCAGAGTATGCCCACCCCATCTGAAAAGACTCCTCCCTTTAGCTTTTCTTCCACCACTTCCCATTTCAGAAGACAAAACTTTGTGTCAGCATGCCACACTTAGAACAAGACCTCAATGACACTATCAAATATGTCCCCAATTTGTCATCATCTTCGGACATCTTTGCAGATCTAAATGCTTTCACCCTTGGTAATATCCCAGGAAAACGGAGCCTCATACCCCTTCCGAGGGCCCTTCCCCAGCTCCAGCTGACCAAGGTGCTGGGGGATCCTACAGGCCAGCTCTAGCTTGGCTGCGGTGTGGTTTGGGCCCCATGCCACAGGACTGGGAAACCCTGCGGGTGGGGGCCCTCCTTTTCTGCCCAGACACACAGCCTTCCCTCTCTCCTTTCCCCCAGCTCTCACTTGAGACCCCTCAGGACTGCAAGCAGCTTTGCTCAGCTGTTTAATTACTAGGGACAAAGGTTACTAGAGACATAGGAACAAATTCTTGAAAAGCTACTGGAAAAATTACTTCTAGCCCTTGGAAATGAAGTAGAAACAGCTATCTCACAGATGTCTTTTTCATATAAACTGTGGTTTAATTTGTGTCAGAAGTTCACCGGGGCAGTGTTTGCTCATTCGACCTGGCGAGCCCTCGTTCCAAGGCCTCACAGCCACCCCCGGGACCCTCCACTGGAAGACATTCCCCCTGAGTCCTCCTTCAGCCGGTAGTCATAGCAACAGCCATGGTTACTGGGCATTTCTGAGGCCTGCATTATTTCTTTTCATCCCCGCACAAACCCGCTGATGGTGAGACGGGAATGCACATCTGGGAAGCCGCCCTTACATTCTCTGATGAGGCTTTCAGCTGGGTCACGGGGGCTGGGGTTGGGATTTTGCCTCTTCTAAGTGAACCAAGTAAGTGGAAACAAAGAATCCTGTTAACATCAATTTTCAGAGTTGCTTAAATGCAGTGAAGTAGGAAAAGAGGAAATTTTTTCCTCTGGGAACTATTAAGTGCCATTTTCAGTCAACCCAAGGGACTTCCCCACATCCCTTACCAGCTCTGTAGATGTGACCTTCTTTGTGGGCATGGCAGAGCCTGCCTTCCACAACACACAGGCCTCTTCAGGGGAAGTCTGGAACCCCCAACACCTGTTACAAATGACCCCATCTGGAGAAATAACATATCTAAAAACTGAGTGCAAAATGGACTTCTTCATAGGGTCTTCCAACAAATGTTTCTTCACAGCATTCCTCAGTGGCCTTCCTGTCCCTTCTTAGTGGACCATTATCATCAACACCTGTTTTTTTTAATTGTGGTAGAATATATGTAACATACCATGTACCATTTTATCTATTTTAAGTGTTCAGTTCTATGGCATGAAGTATATTCACATCGCTGTGCAGCCATAACCACCATCCAGCTCAACTTCTTCATCTTCTGAACTGAACCTCTATAGCCATTACACACTAATTTGCCATCCACCTTCCTCTGGCTCTGGCAACCCTCATTCTTTCTGTCACTATGCATCTGACTGCCCTAGGTACCTCATCTAATGGAACCGCACAGTGTTTGTCTTTTTATGATGGGTTTATTTCATTCAGTATAATGTCCTCAGAGTTCATGCATGTTGTAGCATGTGTCAGAATTTCCTTCCTTTTCAAGGCTGAATAATATTCCATGGTATGCACGTACCACAATTTGTTTACCCATTTTTCCATCAGTGGACACTTGGGTTGCTCCAACTTTTTGCCTATTACGGATAATAATGCTATGTACATGGGTGTGCAAATATCTTTTTGAGCCCCTACTTTCACTTCTTTCGGGCATATACCCAGAAGTAGAATTTCTGGATCAAAAAAAATTCTGTTTAATTTTTTGAGAAACTGCAGCCACACCATTTTACACTCCCAACAACAGTGCAGAAGGGTTCCAATTTCTCCATCTCCTCACCAACACTTGTTACTTTGTTGGCTTTTTTCTTAATAGCCACTACAATAGCTGTGAAGTGATACCTCATTATTTTTTTAACTTGCATTTCCCTAATGATTAGCAATGTTAAGCATCTTTTCTTATCCTTATTGGCCATTTGTATCTTTTTCTTTTCTTATGTGTGTTCAAGCCTTTTGCCCAATTTTTACTCAGGTTGTTTTTGTTGAATTATAGGAATTCTTGTTATATTGAGTATCAGTCCCTTACTAGATCTGTGATTTGCAAATACTCTTCATGTGTCCATTGATGCACCTAAGGTTTTCATTTTGATAAAGTCCCATCTCTCTACTTTTTTTTTTGTTGCTCATACAGTTGTTGTCATACCAACATCTCTTTCTGAAAGATCTGTTTTCTCCTCCTCATGTGTGACCAAACAGGTACCCACAGAGCCCGGCCATGTTTCAAAATGCAGATGTGCACACGACGAGCAGCAGCGCCTCGCCTCCCATCCTGCTTATGGGGCGGGCAGTGCTTCACCCCAGCTTCCCCACCACCCAGCAGCCACCCCTGCAGCCCGCGCAGGCCCAGCACCAGCCACACTTCTTGCAGGTGGGCACCTGGGCCACCCAGGGGACTGGGGGGACAGGGCAGCACCACAGCAGGCCTGCCAGGCCCTTCCTCCCTCACTTTTAGGGTGAAACTAATCCTCAGTACCAAGATCAGGCCCAGAAGATCTGCATTTGAATTCTTATAAGTTTATAATGCTTAAAATTTATAAAGTTTATGTATATATAGTATGTGAAAACTAGAATCAGCTATTAAGCCTCATACAGTTATGTGCTAAAAAGACCCATTTTTTAAAAGTAATTTTTATTTGGGTGTCCATAATTTTTAGAGCAAATATCAGATACCAATTACTATGCCTACTGGGTTCGTGTTTTATACATAACATCTCATACAAATATAAGATTAAATCATATGTAGTTAAAGATTCATCAGACTTCCTTAACACATATGATGTGGCATGAAGTTGGGGCTTTTAAGGAAAGTGGGGGGCATGTTCACACGAGGTCCCTACTCCCAGCAGCGCCTAATTCACTGAAGGAGAGAGGGAGAGCCAGTGGCTGGGTTTCCAGGTGGGATGGAAGCATCTGCTTGGGCACTGGCCTCCCCTTCCATGTGTGCCTGGGGCCCCCCTTCCCACCCTGCCCCTGCCCTATGGGGTCCCTCCCAGCCTCCATCTCCCAATTCAGTGCGGGGCATGGCTCTCTCCTCACTTCACCTGCTCAGTTGGGCACCTTCAAAGCCACAGGAGTACACAGTGAGACATTTCAAGGACAGTGGAGTACAGGGGAAAAGGGTCATTCCGGAAGATCTGGAATGTACTTTAATGCCAGACTATCTGTGGTATATATACTTTTCAAATCTCCCTTACCTCAAATATAATGGGAGTCACCTCAAGACTTCACCTTAGCACATCTTGTTAGTGTGCAAGATACAGAAGTGGCTTCAGACAGGAACTGATGAAGTAGAAAGGCAAAGATGGTCTGGGAGCAGTTGGAGTCCTCTCAGGATTTCTTCAGCCATAGCAATGAAGGTGTTTGCAGGCACCAATTCCATCCAAGTCTCAGACCTAAGGATACAAAGAGCACTTAAGCCTCCTCACTGCCGTCAGGGGCCCTCATGGTGCAGTGTGGGGAAAGGGATGTCACAGACAGCAGCCAGGCTGTAGGTTAATGCCAAGTGACAGTACTGTAGCTAGGAGGCCTTGGTGGAAGGACTCAGGGGCCCCTCCTGTAGAGCTAGACATTTGGGAAATGCTCAAAGTGCAGGTGTGTGAGTGAAGGTGAAGAGACAGTGTTCCAGCAAGAGACCCAGCCGGAGCAAAACTGGAGGGGCAGATGTGCCTGGGCAGCCTCGAGTACGGGTGGCCTGGTTACCCGAGGGGAAGATTTCATGGATGGGACTAGTGGGAGATAAGATGAAAGGTTCTAGAGTTAGGGTTTGACCTGTGGAAGTTTCTGAGCTTTAAAGTAGGATGCCTCCTGCTAGACACTGGTGAATAGAAGTACCTAGAAGTATTTTCAGAATCAGGGACCACTGTGCACAGGATGCAGCCTGCATGCATGTTTGGATTCTGCCCTGTCGGTTATCTACGTGTGGGTTCAGGTTCCAACTTCCAAAACATACAGGACACATGTAGAGCACCAGCCCACATTCAGGGAACCAGTCCCACAGCCTGGTCTCAAGCCCATGGGACCAGAAGGAATCCCTCGTGCTGGCAGGGACGCTGGCTTTAGGGTTCACTCCCATCTGGCAGAGCTCAGCTTCCTTTCATCCCCATCCTCCCACCAGGGGGCTGACCCAGCCCCGGCGCCCACCCCCAGCCGTGAACTGGAGTCCTGCACCTGCCCACATCTGCACGGCCACCCCAGGGGTGCAGCTGAACCGCACAACCTCCTCCAGAGCCCTTTCTCTTTATTTCGCAGGTGCAGACGCCAACCTCTTTGCACAGTGAGCAACAGGACTCACTACTTCTCTCCACCTACCCGCAACAGCCCGGGACCCTGGCCTACCCCCCGCAGCCCACACCCCCACGCCCCCCTCGCAGGCTTAGCAGTCTGTCTGAGTCCTCAGGCCTCCAGCAGCCACCCCGGTAGTGCCAGCACCCCAGCTGGGTCACACTCAGCTTTAGCCAATGGATGGATGACCCAGGGTGGCCACGGGGGCTTGGGAGGGGGTTTTGACCCTTGGCTTCCCTGCACACTGCATACATTTCAGAACTCCTGATGGTACCCATGTCTGGGGCACAGCAGCTGGCATGTGGAAAAGGATCAGGAACAGGAATGCTGACCGGGTTTCCCTTGCCTCTGAGCTTCTAGGGTACAGTCTACAGCCATGCTGGGCGGAACCCAGTGCCCCACAGAAGTGTTGTCACTCAGTTCACTTTAGCTGAGGTGCATCTCACCACATCCTCCCGAGAGCATGCTGTTCACTAGCCAGCCGTGGCCTGTCCACATGTGCTAGCCGGACTGCGCTCTCTGGATCGCCTTTCCTTTGCATTGGAGAAGCACTGGGTCAGGGATCTCTTAGAGAGATGAAAGAGATAGTTCATTATTTTTAAATGCTTGTTTTCATTATAATTTGCACAGCTGCACAGAGGAGATAATGCAGGCACTCTCCGTTTTTAAAAATAAGTTCTAGTGACTTCATTTGGAAACCACAGTAACAAAATCAGCCCACCAATCAAATAGCAAAGCCAGTGGTTATTAACCAGGCTGCAGACCCATACCTGCTGGCCTACATCCTAATGGAATGAGGCTCTTAACCCAACACCATTATGTTTTTCCCCTAAATAAAACACTGGACTGTTTCCTGTTTACTTCGTTGATTGCAACTACAAAGACAGGCTCAAAGCAAAGCACAATCCCAGAGCTTATACTCAAGAATTTTGTTGAGAAGTCTAGGACTATGTGGGAGACAGGCCTGTGGAGCACGTGGTCCCCAAGAAAACCCCACCATGAGCTGGCCCTTTGGGTGAGAATGCTGCATCTTTCTAAATAGCTTTCATGATAAGATTGAGGATTGGATTTTCCTTTTCAGAATGCACTTTGCTTTTTTTGTATGTTTTGTTATGTTGAGATGTTTCTAAAGAAAAGATTTTATGTAATTATAAGATGAAGTGTAGTGAATTGTACAGCTGTTGTAATAATGACCTATTTCTATATAAAATAAAATTGTATGGGTTATGTGTAAATTATTTTATATCCGAGACACCAGTTCCTTTCCCAAATATAAAAGTTTTCTTGTGTTTTTCTGTGACTGGACATTTTGTAATAAATTAACAAATTTGTACAATTTTCTCTGGAGGCTGTTTCTGTCTCTTGTTATATACATGCATGCATACATCTTTGCATCAGGTAACTTTTTCTTTTTTTAATTTCAAGATGTGTCTAAGGATAGTCAAAGATATGGAAAAGACAAAAGCAAGCCCTGAAGAAGCCGGGCAATGACATTAGGCTTTTTGAGCTGCAATGTGTATCAGTCTATCAAGTTTCATATCTTTATATTAAAGGTTGTGCCACAAAAAAACAGTGGTTCACTGTAGAAAGGACAGCAAAAGTTCCTGGAACATCTCAACCTTAGAGATGGTGGTAGTCTGGGAAGACGACCAGGACATTTGGCACCTAAGCAGTCACAGCCTGTAATTAAACTCATGGGGGTTGGAGCTCCCTGGGCTCCAACATTGAGAAACCAGTGACATGCACAGGGCTTGTGTGTCTGTGCATGAGACATGTACACAGGTCATGTTGATTGAGGGAGACAGAGCAGCAGCCTCTCAGGCCTCTGCCAACTACAGACAGTCCCCTTTCCTCATGAGGCATCATCATGCTGATGTGAGGGGACCTGGAGTTTTATTATTCACACAGTTGCTGTATTCCTGAAAAATAAGTCCAAGTATTTTGTATGCATTATGATCATTTCCTCTTCAAAGGAACTAGATATGAACCCTCCTAAAACATAAAGTATGTGAAACTGGATCAACTTTTTCATAATTTAACTATTTTATAAAATTCAAATACTTGTAAACCCAATTTTTCTGTAACAATTTATATTTTAATTGGCTGTCAGAATCGTTACTTTTAAGTAGAATAAGATTTTTAATGGAAACAGCATATTGTCCTAGGGTTTTCTAGCTGGAAGCCTTTAGGAGAGGGTGGAGTGTGCTGTGCTACTAATTTAATTGGGCTTTGCTTCAGTCTTACACTTTTTCAGAATCTGGTTAAACTCAGAAAACTTACTGTGTGGTATTTCTTTAAACCCACATGAGAAGTTTAATCCCTAGGCTTTTGATTCATTAAATTCTGCTCACTAAAAGACTATTTTGCAACCCTGTCCTATTTCCAGAAAACCATGACCTTTCTATTTGGAAAATTAGAGAGTCTTGGCTCTGAGAAAGTGACTTGAAATCTAAACTCTGGAATATACCAAGTCTTAGAATCTTCTGTCTAATGGCAAGTAAAGTTGATTAAATAAAAGTTTTTGTTTATACAGGCAACATGGTGAACTGGTCAACTAGTAGATCTGTCTAAACCATGACATTCTGCAGTCCTGCCAAAATTATTCTCATAAAATGTGGGCATTTGATACAAAATTGCTTCCTTTTCTCTTTATGAGAAGCCTAAAAGTTTTAGCCATTAATAACCTAGAAAAATAACTAAATTAGATGCGCCAGAGAAATGCCCTATGTGGATTTTTGGATAGTCATATATGAACTTCATACAACATACATATGCAATACAAACAACATATTTGTCTAAGTATATCATGGTTGTTTCAATGGCTAAAATATATAGCCTTATAATTTTGCAAAACAGCTTTATTTTTCCAGGGAAGAAAGCTCATTAGAAACAAAAGGAAATCTCTCTTAGTATTTTTGCCAGACTAGCCAATACCCAGTTCTGGGGGACGGAGGGTAACCCTTTAGCACATTCACTAAATATATGCCTTAAAATGTATATTCAAATGTCGAGCTACGGCTTCATACACCCTTGAAAGGTTCTGGGTTTAACTCTGCATATGACTCATTCCCTTTAAAACCATCTGCTCCCACCCCAACATCCCCATCTCTTTCCATGGACCCTCATTTACGGTTGTGGCATATGAAAGTGCCCCCCCCAACTTCGGCTGGATCACAGCCTCTTCCATAAACCCCCAGATGCTGGTCCACCCACATGCTCCAGGACACATTTTCTTTAAGCACCTTCTTCACCACCACATCCTTTTCCTTTTAAAAAAATTTCAGGGGCTCTTGGTAAGTTCTACTGGACCTTCCTGCAGCTTAGCCTTGCACAAAGCTGCCAAGGCAGCCCCTTACAGTTTGATGCCCCCCGAGGCTATTGAGGACTGGGATGTAACCTCTCCACTTCTTCCTTGCTGACCCACAGGAAAGCATATCTTTCACTTTAAGGACTCTTTATAATCACAAAAAGTAAATAGTCATGGGTGAGAAAGAAGCACAGCTAACGGGCACTGGAGAGTTAAAAAGCACACGAAGTTCATCCTAGTGGCTCTGGTCTCTGGGAGGCCAGCAGTGACTGACAGGCATGACCCAAAGCTTGCAATGAAAGGAGAAGCTGGAAGAGCCTGCAGAGCTGGATAGAAACCTGAGAAACCGAGGCAGGCCAGGGATTTTCAGTCCTTCAAACCAAACAGTTATATGTCTGCTCAACATTTACTTAGAGCCACAGAGTTGACATCTGAGTGGATCGTTTTGTAGATTTCCACTAGAGAGGTCTTTTTGCTGCAACAAGAAGTAGGCTCTACTTACATTCCATCAGCTTGACTCAATTCCCATTAAACTTGCATGTTTCTGAGAAGGAAAATATTTAACACGGCCAACAAGGTCAGCAGAAAACTCTTGGCCCCCTCCCCTTCTCTCACTCCTCTGGACTCCTCTTTCACCCTTTGCTGTGCACACCAAATGCCACATATATGGAAGCAAAATAGTATAAATTGCTACCCTTGCTTGTGCTCAGGGCTCACACCTTTGGAGGTTACTCTGCTCTGAGGCTCCTGGTGTGAAATAAACCTCCACCCTCCAAAACCTCCGAGTGCTGCTTGGTTCTTCCATCAGCAATCCAGTCCAGGTTTTCCATAACATTTCCATGCAAACGAGTCAGCTGGCACCAGACTTCTGATCTATGATGATACCGGGACCTCCTTATGGATTGTGGCCAGGGATGCCTAGGTGCTCAGTTCCCCTCTAGATGCTGTGAGCCAGTTACAAAGGGCAGGATCATACCTGCAGAGAGTGGGAGTAGGGGGCCAGGATCAGAGAAGTTATCCCAAAGGGTCATTAAGGTATGAAAGGCCTGAGGCAAGTTTCAGGTGCTTGAGCCCAAGGAAGAGAATAGGCACTGTGAGGAGAGAAGGAAAGGAGAGCAAGTGTCATTAGGTTCAAACAAAATGCAACTCCCCTTCTTCCTTGTTAAAAGAACCCTAATTTTGTGTGGGACAGCAATGTGTGTTGGCCAGGCCAAAAAAAACAAAACAAAACAACAAAAACCATCATTAGGCTAAGGGAATCATGACTTTCCCATTTGTCTTTGGCAGGTATTTGCTTTCTCAGCCATGATCAGAAGGGAGGCTCAACACCAGCCAATGACTGGTGGAAAGATGCTGGGGGTTTCTGGAAAGGCCCTTCTTTTCTGATGCGGCACAAGGGGAGACTTTGTCCACCTCTACATCTTGCTTTAACTAAAGTTAGCAAATGTGGAGGTGCAGAATTCACCCTGTGACAAGATGGACAGGCATGATCAATTGGGAATGGTTGCTACAGCCAAGATGAGATCAGAAGACTCCCATGTTTCTCAGGCTGAATTCTCCAGATGTCCAGAATGTGCCGTTTGTTTACTGCGGATCCATGACACTAGTTCCCTCCCGAGTACTTCTTACTGTGGCCTTGAGTTCTACCTGCCTGCGTTCCACCAAGGCCTGCCTCACATACGTGATCCCAGAGCCCCTGCTCCAGCGCTGAAGCCTGCCTACAGCCTTCCTGTCGCGGGAGACGGTGAGCACCCGCCAGCGAGCTGTATTTTGCTCATCTGCACGGCGCTGCACACACGTTCAGTTAACGGTGGCCGAATCAATGAGAGACTGGGAAAAACAAAAGAGCGGCTGCTCCTCCCGGGCCTGCTCCTATCCAACGGTGGCTTGAGTTCTGGCTCCCTCCGAAGACTTAGACAAAACCCTCAAATCCCTCCTGCGCCTCCCACGCGCGGAGCAGGAGGAAACTCCGCCGCAGGGAGCAGACAGAGCGCACGGCGTTACACACTGGGGCGCGCGGCGGGAGCGCGCAGCTGCGGCCAGCCCGGGCCCCGCCCCCCAAGGCCGCTCGCCTTCCACGGGTCGCGCGGCGTGCGTCACGTACGTAAGAGCCGCTTGCACCGCGCCTCCACCCTTTCCCACCACACCCCCAAGCCCGCCGCCTCCAGGCGACCCGGAAGTTGTATTCGCGGCGCTGCTGTCCGTTTCCCACAATACGTCGCGCTCTTCCTTGCGAACCTGGCTCCGGCAGAGTAGGTATGGGCGCTAGGTGCCGGTTTCAGGGATCTGGTTCCATCCCCGCCACGGAGTGTGCTGACCGGGACCACGGGCTCTGTCCTGAACCGGCCCGAGGCTCCGCGTTCCGGGGGGACGGGAATACGCGCTACATTTAAGGGCTCCCGTAGCCTGGGAGGGAGAGCGACCAGGCTTGGAGCAGCCGGGGCCGCAGGGGTTTGCGGGGTGGGGGCATCTGCGGGGCGCGGATGCTTGGACCCGGCGTGGGCGGCTTGGCTTAGCCCAGACCCGGGGCTTCAGGGAATGGCCGGATCCTCTGCAACCGAATGCGTCCTCTCTGGTCTGAGCCGGCTCGTCTCCTTGGTTTAGATGGCTCCTGCAAAGAAGGGTGGCGAGAAGAAGAAGGGCCGTTCCGCCATCAACGAGGTAGTGACCAGGGAATACACCATCAACATTCACAAGCGCATCCATGGAGTGTGAGTATGCTTGCACTGGGCCAGATTCCTGCTTGCACGGGCTCCCGAGCTCAGCCTCCGGTGTCACTGAGGTCTGCCCAATACTGAAGGCTGGGTGCTTAGAAATTAAACATTTCTTAATATTAACAAATCTGTATTCCGAAGACCCTATTTAAGATTTATAGAGTTTAACGTGTGACGCTCAGAGGTTCGTGACTGGAAACTTGACATTGCATAATAAAACTCGGGAGGAGCCACTTTGGGAAAACTTGGTGGTGATAAAAGTCATTCCACTCCGTGCTTTGCAATTGAATTCGACCTGGGCTGGCTAACGGATGA